CCCTTAACAATAGTATCCGACACCAAGATCTGATCCTTATACTCACCGGCCCCCATTCACTCTGTTGGTTACTAGGAGGGCGTGAATAGCATTGCTGCCTCTTGGGGGGGAATTTCCTATCAAGACATTTTTTTCTTCTCCTATTAGATTTATGCAAATATTTCCTGCCCTAGAAGATTCAGCTTGTCAAGTCCCTTGATCTTTCATCTGAATTGACACACAGATCCTATGTCATCTCTGACATTTAATATTTGTCCCCACACCAAGCCTGGTGATGATTTTGTTTGTTTAGAAAGCTCTCTTTCCAGCCTCTGAAGTGAGATTGCTTTTTGTGCTCCTGCCTTGTCTTCTTCTCAAATGCAGGGCCTTGTTTTCTTGACATTAAATATTTATTACCACCAAGATTTTAGGAGGTATTTCATTTACTCCGAAAGTTCTTGGAAACCATTCTCTTTAAATGAATGTTTGCTTTGTATCTCTTGTGGGTGTTATATTATTTTCAGGTTACATAACATACAAAATGGTATGCACTTAATTCATCAGTCAGAATTGAAATATTCTGACAATGACTCATATCACTCTGTATTTAGCAACAATATCTGATAATGACTTATTGACTAATAGATTAAAAGAAAATAATATTAAAATATTTTAATTACAGAAGTGGTCACAATTATAATGTTAGATAGAGCAATAGCAACCAACCATGGTGCTGAGTGGAAAACTCTCAGGGGAAACTGTTATAATTAAACAGACTTTAAGAAAGCTCCCCAATGCAAGCTTTCATAAAATTTTCAGAACACTTACCGTTCCTAGAAGCCAAGCCACCCTTTGGAACATCTTACTTCCTTTCTCTGTTTAGAGTCCACTCCTCCACCACCACCCCCCATCCAGGTCTAGAAATTTATCCAAATGGGGAAAAAAGAATGCTTCCAATTTCAAGTTTATACTGTAGATAAACTGTTTCATTGGTATGAATTTCCACAGATTTTCATTTTTCAAAATTAAGACACTGGAATTGAAAAATGATGGCCCGAGGAAGCAAGAACTTCAGAACGCATTCACTTGGTCTCGACTTGCCTTTCTCTAGAACCATGAGAAACAGCTGGTGCTGAAAACAGTGCAGAATTGACTTCATGGTTGCCAGTCAAAGGTGTTTGTCTAGCGTGATGGGCCATTTGGACTATCCCAGCACTTGGAGGGCTGAGGCTGGAGGATTACCGTCAGTTTTAGGGCAACATAGTGAGCTCAAGGCCAGCCTAAGATATGTAGTGAAACCTTGTATCAAGAGAAATGGTTTTGGGGCTGCAGAGTTAAGAGCTGTGGCTGCTCTTCCAGAGAACCTGAGTTCAATTCTCAATACCCACATGGCATCTCACAACTGCCTTTAACTCCAGTTTTAGGGGACCTGGCATCTTCACACAGATATACATGCATGCAAAATGCCAATGCACATTACAAAAACACATCTTAAAAACAAAAAGTATTTTTTTTTTCATTTTTTGCAGAGAGGATGTGCATGAAAATATATTTGATAGTGAAATGTTGGGGGCCGGGCCCGACTGGGACTGTCTCTGAGGCCCTGGTGTATGGAGAAGCAATAAACTTGGAATGGCCTGGGACCAGGGCGTTGACAGTGACAGCTTGGGATCTCAGGAACTCATCTTCCCTTCCTCCATTGAGGGTCTGTGATCATCAGTCTCTAAGCCACAAGGGAGTGTTCATTCTGTGGGGAACTTAAAATATCCTATGTTCCCTTTGAACAATGTTGCTTGATTAGCTTTCTGCTGACTTTGTCCTGTTGTGTGACAGTTTTCTTCTGCTCTGTCCTGTTTTCCCTCTAAAAAGCGTATATACGATGCTGATCTTCTTAATAAACTTGCTTGGCATTAGAAATGGTCTGTACAAGACCTCCTCACCTCTGCTTTCCTATCTTCGTTTTTCCTCATGTTCCTGTCCTCCCTCTCAGGAATGTGTTGCAGAAGAAGAACGTACAGGTCCAGGTCAGTGAGAGCGTAAATCTAACAAGAAGCTCCACAGTGTTGGCGCTATTTTTTACTCTATTTTATCTGGGGTTCCTTTATGCCTCTACCTCCCTTCCACCAACCCTCCCCCCACAACGCTAACTAAGCAAGAGAGAAAGAAGGTTAGAGGGGAAAGGGGGCAGAGTTCTCTTTAGCTACTTCTGGCTGTTTAAGGTTGTGGGGTACTTTGGGAAAATACCAATCTCAGTTGTCAGTATCCAGCAGTCCAGCGAACCAGCAAACCAGCAAATGGCAAACCCAGCAGCAGCCTTCTTTCCTCTTCGGGCACATCTCTGCAAGAATCCTTTTCTCTCTCTCTCTCTCTCTCTCTCTCTCTCAGCTCCAGCATTTATTCCTCTCCAAATCCACAGAATTCTACTAACTGAAGCTGGCAAAAACCACACAGACCCCTCTGAGCCACAGGAGTTATTCAGCAGTGGACAAACTAAAAGCAGATCCATATCCCACTCTTGGGATTAAAACAAAAACATATTTACATAACAAAACTGAGTTTTTAAAGAAACCAAAACTTTCACTACACCACAGTTGTGGATGTGTCACTTTAACTATACAGAAGTTTGTCAAGCTATATAGACTTTGGGTCTGGTTCATTTTGGTAAGTGATTTCCTTTCCTTTTCTCTTTCTTTCTTTCTTTCTTTCTTTCTTTCTTTCTCTTAATTTGTAAGTACTTTTTCATATACAAGTAGATAAAATTAATTTTTTAAAAAAATTATAATTGCTTATGAATGTTTAGTACTAATTTAATGCAAGATCATTCAACACTTATAAAAAAAAAAGCTGTTTCCCCAAAAAATAAATTTTAAAATAGTAAAAGAATTTCAGGATTTATATCAAAAGGAAAACCGGCACAGTATTCCACTTGTTTTGCCAAGTCCTCAAAGCATCAGAATTGTGATATTATTCCTAAATAACCATCATTAGAGTCAAAAGTTCTCCAGGTCATTATAGACAGCTGAGGATAGAAAAGTCCATGGAGGCTTCTCATTAGGCAAAATAATGCACTGCTTTTGAGGCTTTAAAGCTGTATCTTTGAACACCCTAAGCCCATACTCAGGGATTTCGACACTGTGAGTTGGTATCCACTAGGCATTGTTTGGAAAAGAAAGCCGGCTAGTGCTAAGTGCAATAAACAATAACTTACCAGGAAGGAGAAGGTCATGGTGGATGATGAGCGAAGGAAAGGAAAGGTGGTTCCCTGTCAGACACTCACGGATCGTAAACGTCTAGGGAAAGGACACTTTGGGCAAACACCTAGGACAGGCTTATGTTTGGAAAGACCAGGAAACAGCAAGAAGGCAGAGTCTGGAGGTGAAGGTGGGGGCTTCAGAAGTGAAGACACCGAGTTTGTTCTGTTTTGAAGAGGCCTGTCAGTGACTTGAGCAGTTATGATTTGTAAGCATGCTAGAAGCTTCTTTAGGCTTGAGAGCATGATCATGCTGGCAGTTCTTCAATAAATTATGTTTAAAATTCAAAATGTCTCTGGGTCTCAGCATCTGTTTTGATCCACTGCTGGGTGGAGCATCTCGGAAGGCAGTTATGCAAAGCTTCTGTCTACCAGCATAGTATAGTATCAGTAGTAGTGTCAGGGGTTGGCTCTCTCCCATGGCGTGGGTCTCAGGTTAGGCCAGTCATTGGTTGGCCATTCTCTCCATCTCTGCTCCATCTTTATCCCTGAACATCTTGTAGGCAGAGTAAATTTTGGGTCAAAGGTTTTGTGGGTAGGTTGGTGTCCTTCTCTCACCATTAGGAGTCATGCCTGGATATTGGATGTGGCCACTTCAGTCTCTATATGTCCTGCTGCTTAGGAGTCTCTGCTGGAGTCACCCCCATATCCTCCTAGGAGGCTACCCTGTCCCAGGTCTCCAGCTTATCACAGGGATGTCCCCCTTGTTGGATTCCTTTTTCTCTCCCAGCCCTCTCACCTCCCACCCCTGCTCTCCCGACACCTGATGTTAACCTCAGCGAATCTTGTGGAAGAGTTTGGGGAAGGATGAAAGGACCTGGAGGGGACATGAACTCCATAAGAAGACCAACAGAGTCAACTAACCTAGGCCCATGGTGGCTCACAGAGACTGAAGCACCAACCAAAAAGCATGCATGAGCTGGACCTAAGCCCCCTACACTATGTAGCTGATGGGCAGCTTGGTCTTCCTGTGGACCCCCTAGTAAATTCAGTGGGGCTGTCTCTCACATGGACGAAGGTGCCTGCTTTTTGTTCACTTACCCCTAGCTGGGCTGCCTTGTCTGGCCTTGGTGGAAGACGGTGTGCTTAGTCCTGGTGTGACTTGATGGGCTGGGGTGGTTTGGTATAGAGGGAGTGCTCCCCTTTTCTCAGGAGAAGGGGTGGAGGAAATGGGAAAGGAGAGTGGGAGGATGGGACTGGAAGGGGAGGATAAAGGGACTTCAACAGGGATATAAAGCAAATAAATAAATAAATGAGAGAAAATTCAAAATGGCATGGGGAGATAGAAAGATGAGTCAGCAGATAAGTATTCTGCTCTTCCAGAGGACCTGAGTTCAATTCCCAGCACCCACATGGTGGCTCACAACCATCTGTAACTCCAGTTCCAGAAGATGCTGTGCCCTTTTCTGGCCTCTTGAACATTGCATGCACTCTGTGCACATATATACATGTAGGCAAAACATGCACATGAAATTAAAAACTAGAAAAAAAAATTAGTACAAAATATTGAAAAGGTAAAGCCCTTAAGATTATATTGTTGTAAATGTCATTCTGGAAAACAGGTTTAAATAAGTGTGTCTTCTGGCTTTGAAGTTCTAGAATCCTATATAACTCTGTGGAAAGACAGGGGGAAAAGGAAGGAGGGATGGAGGTGGGGGGAGAAATTCTAGTGCCACCAGAACCAGTGCTCAGTCCCCAGTACCCTGTCTGCACTCTGCATACAAATATAAACACAGTTGTAAGATAGAATATGAGCACATGGACACCTACATGTGACACATTTTCTTTTATTTAAAATAGAGCTCTTTATGCTTCACAGAAACAAGTGCAAGGAGTGCCTAATTTATTGTCTTTGCCACTTCCCGAAACAATATGCTTTCTGAAAATGCATACATAAAAATATAACATTTAGGCGGAGAAGTATGTACACCTGGAGGCAGCAGGAAGTTATGCAGCAATATTAAAAAAAGCTTTAAAATAAATACTTTTATGACTTGCTGTTGGCAAAGTGAAACATTTTGGTATGAAGGCTATCGCTGAGTTCCTACTACATTCTAAAACATGATTATTTCTTAACAATATAAGTATATATTACTATAAATGCATATGTTCACAGATTCGAAATTCATGAAACATCTGAATGTCATCCATGACTCTGTTCAACCTCCAACAATGAAAACACAGCTACTCACCACCATTCCCATCTGCACATTTTGGATACAACTTATCGCCCAGTTCTTATTTTAAAACCCAATTTATTTTTTTCACAGTTCTTATATACATTCATTTGAGCCTGTCTGTGGAAGGCAACATCTTTTTACATGCTTAAGAATGTCAGCAAGCTTACAAAAAAAAAAAAAAAAAAGACCTTCACAACGGTGATTCTGTTCACAGTAGTTCAAGAGTTCAAGGCATGTTTTTGCAGCTTCAAAATGCAATGGTTTTGACATGTGTAATGTGTTCGTAAGTATAATACCCAAAGAAAAGTGTAGTTAGTATAAGTGCTTTGAAAATCAATCAAAAATATGGGTTTTTGTTTGTTTGTTTGTTTGTTTTGCTTTGCTTTGCTTTTGAAGAGCTGAATCCAATTGTCTCTGTTTAGGCCATTTTAAAACCTGGAACACCAACCAAGTGTGGATAATCTCACCCAGCCTGGGGTCAGGAGAACACAGGAGCTTGACTTAAGTCATTCTGGAAATGACCTAGAGTGAGTCTAATATTTACTCAGATAATCTCATTTGATAAAGGGAGCAGAAAATGCTATATCTTTGAAATTGCTGTTACTACTATTTTGCCAAAGAAAAACTGAAAATATTGATAAACCTATGTCTATGACTGACTTTCTCAGAGCCCGACATACAAGCCTCCCTTTACAGGTGAAAGAGGTTCATCCGTGGAATGAAAACTCAGTGGGCGTCTAGAAATTGAGGTCCCTGTGCCCTGCTGCAGATGATTTGAATTAGGGGTGAGGGGTGGCGGACATTGATGAGCAGGATAAAGGTGATCCTTCATCTCATTCACTCTTGGGAATACTGGGATGAAAAGTCAAAGCATTCATTCTTCTAAGTTCTGTGTTTAATTTGCATATGTCAAGAACCATTTCTAAATTTAGCTTCCATTTTTTTAATGATGGATAAGCCTGGGTGTTTTATGTTGATATAGAAACACATCATGTCTTTTTTTGTAAGTTATAGAATTATGGTTAGAGGGAAGAGCTGATTACAGGACCCACCTCAATCCTCAGTTGCCCCAAGCTGTGTTCCTCGTGGAGAATTCATATGTGGGATGCTGGAAAAAGGTGAATTTCCCACCACATTCAGGCTTTTAGTGGCTGTGTTAACAGTCAGATTCCTAAAACCCAGGATGGAATTACATATTCCAATGAAAAGTGTTGGGTCCAGGAAGAAAACATCTTATAGTATAACACAAACCAACAAGGAAAAAACATGTTCCTGGCAGTACTAAAGTGAGGATGAGCCGAAGCCCACATTCTCCCAAATGTTACATTCTTTTACGACTAACTGGAGAAGAATCCTGGCAGCTATCAATAACAAATTTTAAAGTGAAGATGGTTACCTCATTTCAGTCTAATCTACGTTCCAAAGAGCATGGCGCAAGGCTTAGTCTTAAAAACATGGAGAAGCAGGGCTGGAGAGATGGCCAGTTAGGAGCACTGGCTGCTGCTCTTCCAGAGGACCAAGGTTTGGTTTCCAGCACCCATGTGGCAGCTCACAGCTATCCGTAATTCTAATTTCCGTAATTCTTCCTTTTGGCCTCTTCATGCACTGAACATGCACACGATACACAGACATGAATTCAATCAAAACACCCATCACACATAAAGATAAATAAATAAAAATGTTAAAAGGATGGCAGAAGTAAAACAATCCAACGGCACCAGTTATCACAGAAGTAACTCAAGCACTCACATTCTGAGACATGTATTTCACAGTCTTTGTTCAAGTCACTGCTTAATTGGAATTCAGCAGTAGAGCAGAAGCAGGCATTCTTTACGCATTAGCTAAAAGCTGGTATATAACCAGGCAGTCTGACTAAAGTTTAAGAGAAAGTCGTGTCTGCCATTAACAGAGCCCTCTCCCCAGTGTCAAGAGAATAATCACTGGGGAGCTGATGAGGCGAAACCTCTTACTCACGGTGGGGAAATTAAAACCTTGTTAAGAAGTTCAGTGTGTAACAAACCGGACAGGGCTCAGCTATATGAAAGGACAGAGGGGTGGAGTGATGCAGGACTCAGGAATCTGCCACTGGAAGGAAACTGTGCCAAAGACAAGACTAATGAGAGAAAGAGGATATAAACGGCATTAAACACAGTCCCCAGTTCATGTACCAAGCCACCTTGTACCCACTCCAACACACTCCAATATATGCAGGAAAGGAGCAGGGAAAGGGTCTGGAAGCCTCTCTAATCATTATTCATACTAAGAATGTTTTTTTTCCTTGCCTTTCTTCCTTCCTTCCTTCCTTCCTTCCTTCCTTCCTTCCTTCCTTCCTTCCTTCCTTCCTTCCTTTCTTCCTTTCTCTTTTCAGTGCTGAAGATTGAACCCAGGTCCTTGCACAAGCTCGGCAAGCCCTCTGCCACTGCTCACATCTCCAGCCACTACCAGGAACTTCCACACAATATCCTTCTTTAATTGCATTTTCAATTTTATCAGCATTCCATGGCATCTCTACCTAGCTCAATGACTATTTTTAAATTCTTGCTTTGCCTATTATCATTTTTCCTACTCGCCTTGACCTGAGCAAGTTATTTGGCTGGAAATCCACCAAGACGTAGGATTGGACCACCAGCACTGAATGGCTTGTTATATTAACATATGCACATGGCAGCTTTACATGCATTCTGATTGATCTTTCCATTTGTAAATGTGGGCTAGGCTGCGGAAGTAGGTGACACCCTGTTTCTACAATCAGCAGCAGCCATCCGATATCTTCAGTCTCTTCCTCTACAAAATATCAGAATCAAGTTATGAGGCTTGGGGTCTCTTTAACTTTTAAGTTCTCATTTTCATTTTGCACTGTGGCACATATGAAATAATTTAGATCACTAAGGGATTTCTTTTCCATTACAAATGTACAGCTCTATGAGGATTAATTTAAATAATAGCTATGCTTAAAAATAATTAGGAAGTAACTGTAATTTTAGAAGATGGTGAATGAGCAATAAGTTTAAAAGTAGGTGAAAAATAATGAAACATAGAAAAGTTAGAGGGCAAAAATAAAGCCAAGGACCAGAAAGGTTATATTAGAATACTTTGATAAAATGTGTGCACTGTAGAAATTCTGTTTAATATTAGATTTTTAATGACTGTTTTGCATTCTAGATTTTCTTCCTTCCATCCTTCCTTCCTCCCTCTCTCTCCCTCTCTCTGTCTCTCTTCCTCTCTTTCCTGTTTCTCTCTCTCTCTCTCTCCCTTTCTTTTTCTTTTCTTTTCTTTTTTTGGTTTAGTTTTAAAGAATCATGCAGAAAAAAATTAAAAGCCCTTAAAACTATGACTGTCTTCACTAAGATAGTGAACAAAATCCAACTGAATATCAGCAGTTCGAGCTAGAACACAGTGTTGTTAGCTGTGGAAGTGTTTCATTTCACAAATGACGAGAGAGTAGGTTCAAAAACTACACTAACATCATTTTCAGACACTAAGCATAAACATTTCTGAGTAGTTGATAATGTTGGTTTTTAATGTTACATGAAGGAAGTGATTATTGAAGACCTCAGCTACCAACTCTGATATGTTTGGTATTGTTCCCTAACTCCTTGACAGCAATCAAAATTTCCACATTTTAAATGAATTAAGTTAGCCATGTAAAATTTCATCTTTACTTTCAAGAATCAATCAAAAACTATTCCCTGCCAAGTAATTGCAAGTTGTTCTCTTGGTCCTTGTATGATGGCAGATGCCCGCTCCCTGCCTTCAGGCAATGCACTAAATAGTTCCCTGGGACTTTTGCTTAGACTCCAAAATTGCCCTGAGTTTACTTTGCCCTGGTAAGTCACAGGGTGACAAAATTGCAGGACAGTAGACTTTTCTTTTGTTTAATCATTCTGCAATAAGAGAAGCATTCAAAATAATGTTATTGTGGAACTTCTGATCTAATGAATGTATTGTAGATTTTTCATTTTAAAATAAAAGCTGATTTTAAATTCTTCAGACATAGCAATCAGGTTACTATTTTCATACAATTATGGAAATTTAAAATGCAAAGTTAATTGAAAGTATAAAGATGAAAAGCAAGTGCTGTGCTTAAAATAGAGCACGACAGTCATGTTTCACTTAGCTCTCAAGGCAGAACGTAAATTAAGAATTCTAGATGTGACATGCCAAATATTTTAGACACGGAAGAATGCATACAACAGAATCGGTCCTGATTACAAACTCAAACACACGACTTATAAGGCAACAAATTCATGCTCAAATGTTGACAACAAATAATGCGTCTCATATCTCAAGAAATGATGCCACGCATAAATCCCATCATTTCTGCATACAGTACTAAAAATTCATAATAGCATTCCTAAGCTCTGTGTTATACCCAAAGCCAAAACTATCCACACAGAGCAAAACAGTGACGTCACTCTGCACCTAGCCTAAGAAGATATTTATGTTCATAACAAAAATTAAAAGAAACGAGTATTGCATAAGATTCCATTAAAAACACATAGAGTAAATTGAACTGCATAGGTATATACAGTAAATCTGCCATATGCTATAAATATTTCTGTAGTTTTTTTTTTTTAGTAAGTGAGTAGTTTCTATGTAAAATTGTATTAAGAGTTAAGGAAAAACTACAATCTCTATTGTTTCCCTTCTGCTTTTGTTGCCCTTTTCTTTAAGATTATTCACTTAGGAATTACAGCTCAACAACCAAACAACAGGCAAAATGTCTCAAAACAATCCAATATGAAGATTTCTCCACAGTGAAATTTGAATCAAGAGAAATATGTTACATTTATATACTCTCAAATAAACTATAAAACATAATGACAAAAAAGAAAGATAGTAAAACACCCCCTCTTCAAAAATCCAGTAAGTGTGTTGTTTACCAAACAGTGGTGAACAGAACAAGATATAGTGGGTTTTTATTAGAGATTTGCATACAACCATCTAAGGAAATAATTTCATTTCCTTCTTGTAGGGAGTGTGTGAAGTAAGATAAACACAAGCCAGCTCACCCTTCACACAGTTCTTTTTAACATCCATTCACATAGGTGCACCTTTCGATACTGATGATATAATTAGACTGTAATATCTAAATAAAGATCTCTTCCAAATGTGTTGCAAATTGGAAGTGAGCTTCAGACCTGTTCTGGAAACCATTGTCACACAGAACTCAAGACATCCCACTGCATATCTTATCTGTCAATTTACTTTCTTCCCTCATACGCACATGCCTTTTCTCACTCCCAGATTAGACTTTAAAATCCCTGAGGGCAGGACCTATCCATCTTTTTATTCCCTCTTGTACCCAATATTGTGGCAAGCAAGTCATGGGGTACTTCATGGTTATAAATGGATGGGTGTGTGGCTGAGAACGGAAGAGTCTGCAGCCCTCAGAGCTCTCACAGCATTTTGTTTCTCTTATATCAACTTAGTCAAAGGAAATGGATCCAGTAACACATTTCCAAATTAAAATCTACAAATCACCTTGCCCTTTTATGGAAAACATATGTGTCTCCTTCAAAACATTAGTCCTCACGTTGGGAGAACATCTAAATTCCAGATGGTAAAACTTCGCCCATTTTTTTAATGGAAAGTCTGCACTATGAATAACCAAATATTTGGCCTTAAAAATACCTGGGTAACACGTCTTTAATGCCAGAACCATCAAAGAATGGAATATGCTAACATTTCACTGTTCATAATGCTGAGCGTACTTCTGTTCAAGAACAAACAGGCAGAAGGGAGTTCTAGGGAATGGGACTGGGGAAACAGTGTTTTAGAAGTCTGAAAGACATTGTGTTATTATTTTCACTGAAGCATATTTGAAGTACATTTGAAGGAAATATCTGGTGTCCTGTTAAACAACCTGTACCTCAAAAAGAACAGGTAAAACCTCCAAATCTCTCCACATGTGTTCCCCCTTGAAAGGCCAGGAATGTCTTCTAATAACCAGTTTGGTCCTCTCTGTTAGCAGTAAGTGTTCAACCCTTTTGGGAGCGTTCTCTTCATTTTTCTCAAAATATTTCCTTGTTTACATTTCTTTCTAAATATGTACCCCCAAAGTGATGACATCTTAACACACACATCTTTAGACAATGTGTGCTTATAATTGGTCAACCTTTGTCAATGTTCAGAAAACATTTTTTTTAATTAATGAATGGGATAACAATGATGTGTTTATGAGGAAATGCTAATAGAATGGTTTTGAAATTCTAGCAAATTCATTATGGTCTTAGAAAATACTCAATGCACTCTCTATATGACTAAATTAAAAATAAAATATCTGAAGAAGCTCCCACTTAGGAAGAAAAGTACTATGGGAATTCAAGGAAATATAGTGGCCGGCAAACTTCACAGTGCTTGTTGTCACAGGCTTTGTGACCATCTCTGTGACTCTGGCCATTTCACAGTGTTCAAGACATCGGGGACCTCTGATATATATCAGAAGTAATGGCTCAATAGCTTTCAGACTACATAGGGACTGCCCTAGTAGAGATGAAGAGTGACAAAGAGGGAGGAGAGAGAAAGTATTGAGAGCCTGGCTCAGTTTCACACTCATCAATGACCTCCATCTTTCCAGTCTTCAGATGATAAATGATGACCAAAATTTTCTTTTCAAGGGTCCAGCTAAGCTTCAAAGTTCCATTTCACCATAATATGCTCTAGTTCACATTTTTAATGTTTTAATCTCATTCGTGTACACTCTTGGTTCAAGTAAAACAAAAATTTGTTTTTTACTATTTTACATAGCTTATGTTATACTCATAACATCTTCCTCCTTAAATAAAAAAATAATAATAATGAATTGTGTCACCTTTAAAAATAAAATTAACAACAACATGGAGATTGGGAAAGTCAAGACCTGCCCATGCTTAACTTCAGAGTTATCTTTTCATGCTGCCTTTGGGACACTTAAACATTGGTGAACCATCATTGAGGTAGAACTAAAACAAAACACAGGAAAAAAAAAGCAAAACCATTTACACAAAGACACAGAAGAAAGCTGTGAGCAGTTTCTCTTTGCCTGCATGTGGTGTTACGCTTTACAGTCTTCCTTGACACACAGCTGAGAAATGGTCTTCTTCACTCGGAGGGCAGTCAAGCGTGCTGCCCCGTTGGCATACCAGCACTCACGCATTATTCTTCCCATGACCCGGAGTGCCTTCAGGAGAGAAAGACACCAAAGGTTTAATGTGCACAGAGCATAGTACAAAAGCAAAATCACAAATCAGGGGTGACTGAGGAAACTGGGCCAAACTTCTGTAAAATCCTTTTTCAAGGCATAAACATTAACCTTGTAAAGACTAGCTTATGTCGTTGACTGCTAAGATGTAAGGATGGCTACTTTTGAACATCTCTAAGGAGGACAATGATAGCAGAGTGCTGTGGTACAAGGGCACAGTCCCTGTACTTGGAAGGGGAGGCAAAGCAGCAGGAATTCAAGGCCAGGCCAGTTACAGGAAACCCTGCCAACAGCTAAAAAGTGACATAAACCATGGAGAGGCAGGGAAATGGTGTAAATTCTGTTGAATTTAATCAGATGTGCACATACATGAAAAAAAAAGTCATCAAATTGAAAACTAAGATTTACACTTTTACAATAATAATTGCCTATGGCAAATAAATGATGATCCAAGGATAAGCAGAAAAAGTCAGTATAAATGAACTGTCAAAGAAAGAAGACATACTTAGAGGAGAAATCAACATAGAAGCATGAAACATGAGACACCCAGGAAGTCACTAAAGCTGGAGAGCTCCAGTGACATATGCTCATCTTCTGATCTGTTGTAAAACCTCAGGGATGAGGGATCATATGTGAAAAACAGGGAGGATAAGAGATTGAAAAGGAAAAAAAAAAAGCCCTGAATTTAAACATATATGCTGAGGTAGCAAGATGGCTCAGGAGGTAAAGGCGCTTGCTACAGAGCCTAGGAATCTGAGTTTAATCTTGGTACTCACATGTGGGAAGAGAAAACTGACTCCTTTGGCCTCTGCAGGGATGCCCTGGCATACACATGCATTTCCACATACATATAAGAAAATAAACATAATAAAAATAGATGTAAATATATGAATCTTCCCCAAAAAGGAAATCTGTAAGGAAAACACTTACTTTGACTTTTGGTGAATAAAAATGTATCTGCCCAAATTTTTCTTTAAACCTGAATTCATAATGAAATCTTCACTTGGGGGGAGGAGGGGGTCGGGGCTTGCCAATAAGTAAGAATCAATCAAAAATAATAACATAACCAGCAGAATCAGATCCATTAAAGAATATATATTATGATTCAAATATAAGAAACATACATTTATGGAAGGGGAGGAGGACCTCCCCTATCTGTGGACTTGGAGGGGGGCATAGGAGGAGATGAGGGAGGGAGGGTGAGATTGGGAGGGAATGGGGGAGGGGGCTACAGCTGGGATAGAAAGTTAATGAACTGTAATTAATATAAAAAATAAAAAATTAATTAAAAGAAATAATCATACATTTAAACAGAAAGCAGTATGAAAATAAAGAATCTACTGGCTAAGTTCAGATATGTCACACTAGATATATCTGAGGCAGAAGTAAGGAAGGAGAAAATAAATCTACAAGATCAAGTATACAGGTGCCAACGCAGGAGATACAGGTGAAGCAAAGTGGAATCTGAAAGGTTTAATAGCAGCCACAGTTTTCCAAAAATAGAAATGGAGACAATGAGAGAAGAATTATCTGAAGACATATTATCACAGAATTTTCTAGAACAGAGGCATGTCACACATCCTTAGAATTAGAACAGTCTTTGTTCGAACAAGTTTAACCGACACAGATGGGTTTGATGATGCACACTGTGATTTCAGCACTCAGAGCTTACTGCAGGAGGATCCCTACGAGTTTGGGGTACATAGCGAGAGCTTCCTAAACTACCTACAAACATAAAGCCTGGGTATGACATGGAGGAACTGCAGAACACTAAAGATCTCTCTCCTAACATTCCTAAATGCAATTTAGAGGGACTGGAGAGGTGGCTCAGCTGTTCAGAGCACTTGTTTCTCTTATAGAGGATGTGGGTTCAAGTCTAAGCATTCACATGGTGACTCACAACCATCCATGACTCCAGTTCCAGTGAATCTAAAGCCCTCTTCTGACTCCCCTGGCTACCAGGCATGCACATGGTATATACATACATGCATCAGGCAAAATATTCATTCACATAAAAACAAAACAATTTAAAGCAAGTAGAAAAAACACTAGGAGGCAAAATTTTATTAAAACCAAAGTCCATTTTTATTTAACCTAAATATGTAGTAGTTGGCACATTCAAGAGTTAAAAAATAATAATGTTTTAAGGAGCAAAAAGTTGCCCACCACCACTTCCACCTAATATACTATCAGAGATCCCAGAAGCACAGGAAGAATGAGCTTCAAAGCTTATTGAACATATGTATTTATATGCTATGATAATTAACTGTCCTTTTAGAATTTTTTAAGTGTGTGTGTGTCAGAGGTCTTTTCTGAGACTGATACTCCAACCAAGGACCATGCATGGAGATAACCTAGAACCCCTGCTCAGATGTAGCCCATGGCAGCTCAGTATCCAAGTAGATTCCCTAGTAAGGGGAACAGGGACTGTCTCTGACTTGAACTCAGTGGTTGGCTCTTTGATCACTGCCCCTGAGGGAGGAACAGCCTTGCCAGGCCACAGAGGAGGACAATGCAGCCAGTTCTGATGAAACCGGATAAGCTAGGGTCAGATGGAAGGGGAGGAGGACCTCCCTTATCTCTGGACTTGGAGAGAGGCATGGGAGGAGATGAAGAAGGGTGGGTAGGTTTGGGAGGGGAGGAAGGAGAGGACTATAGCTGGGATACAAAGTGACTAAACTGTAATTAATATAAAAAATAAGAATTTAATTAAAAAGTGTGTGCACGCAGGCGAATGTGCATCCGTGCCTGGGGGACAGGGGTTTATGGAGCTTGTGGAAGGCAGAATAAGCCCGGTGCATAATACGTCTTCCACGCTTGCTTCCAGTCCTGTATTGCTAGTGAACACAAGATAGAAAACAACTGAATCCAAGGTGAGGGGCTTATCTGATTCTAATCTGATGGGAGACTGAGCTTCAGACAGTTGGAGATTAGGCATGAGTCACCCATTACAATATAATCACCCATTGACTTTGCCCATGACCTTCAGTTCCCAGCTCTTTGCCCTGTGTTGGGGAGACCATGTCACCAGCTCTGCTATGATGCATGAGTGGAAACTGTGTATTCCTTGTCCCAAACACTGAAGAGAAAGTGGTGTACCTGTGTTTCCTCTCTTTGCCTGATCCAGAGACCTGGAAATTGCATGGGGATGGTAGCATCAAGGAGAGGTGAGGATGACTATTGAGCCACTTTGGTGAGGACAGGTGTCCCAGACAAGCACCTAAACCACGGAAGACTTCAGAGAAGCGCTACTAAATGTCCTGTTGTCAGAAACTGCCTGGGCTTCAGGGGTGATGCCATGAATGCATACTACCAAAGAGAATAAAATTCCTCCAAAGACATTAAAAAAACAAAAACAAAACAAACAAACAAAAAAAAACCCCTCCATTTATGGAATGAATTAAGCACCTGGGTTAAGAGGGAACTACATATTCTCTGCAAATCCTCACTGATGCCAATCTGAAAAACGAAGTAGAAAATACATAAGAACACATCTTGTGTTGCTCTCCAGTGGAGGAAGAATGGAAAGAGAGGAAGGCGGAGGAAGGAGAAGAAGGATGAAGAGGAGGGAGAAGGAGATTAAAGGGGGAGGAACATAATACCCTTACTTCACAGCTTTGCCACTGGTTTGGGATATTTGGTCGGAACTTCTGGTCACAAACAACCTTCCTCATTTCTTCTATCGAAGGATCTGAAGGCACCATGTCATAGTAAGGCAACTGGTACTCCTCAACAATTCCTGTAAGAAATTTGAAAATGCATTTTTCTACATATATAATCAGTAATGATGTATGCTGCAAACTAAATAACACTTAGTTCTGCCAGGCACACATGATATCCTGGAAAAGTGGAACTTCACTTTTGTCAAAGTAATATGTCACTATAAAATGGATTCAGTTCAAACTGTTTATTTAAATACTTATGTAAAATATAAAATTTATAATATAAAATAAATTTTATAAGATGTAAAATCATATATAACTGCATACATGTATGTAATTTTATAACAAAATAAAATAAAACAAGTATTGTCTCCAATCAAAATGTTGTGACTTTTTATTTTTATAAATTGTCATTATATAGTTAAAAAATAATCCTAATTTCCCTAATTGCAATATCCATAGCATGTCATCACTGCTCTGTAAATAGAGTATATTACCTATGAAACCAGCATTTTTGGTTTTGGAATTTTCCAGGTATCTGGCTCAGCAGGTAAGGTATTGCTACCAACTTGAAAAAATGATCCCGTCTCTGGACCCCACAACATAGAAGGATAAAGTTAAATCTCACAAGCTGTCCTCTGGCCCCCAAATGAGCTCAGTGTCATGGCACGTGGACACATATACACACACACAATCCTAAATGCTACATCTTAAGTGTGTCTTACTTATAAGAAAATAGTCTGTAAACTGCCTTATATGAACATTTTATTTTTTGTCATTGAGGCAACAATTTCATCAGACTGCATTAACGGGGTCTCCCCTTACTAATTTCTAAGCTTTGGGGAACAGTGGAGGGCAAGAGGTAAGCTGTCACTCACTTTTCCACCTCCCTTTCCCTGTCCTCCTACTTTACATCACAGGAGAGAAAAGAGGGAAATCCTGAGAAACAGAAGGCTTGCAGCCCTGCTCAAGTCATTTAGCTTCTCTGGGATAAAAGTAGGGATGCTAAAGTCCAATCAGACAATTTTCATGTGACTCAAAATAATCCCCACGGGCATCAGAATGATCAGACGTCACCTACAGCTAAGCATAATTCAAAAGATAACCCACCCACACACTCTCCTTGGGATGTTCCACTTCTGCCCCTATAAAGAAATCCTTGAATGGGATTTTCTTACCCATTCAGAAACAATTCAGCATACTGAGGGGGAAAAAAAACTCACACCTTGTGCTCAGAGTCAAGGGAAGGGCACTTTCAAAAGCTTACCTCCAACTGAACACCTTCGAGCTATTTCCCAGTAAACCAGCCCCACAGAATAGATGTCAGCTCGCTTGAAGGACTCAAAGATGCTCACATTCATGGTATCATCAAGCATTTCAGGAGCCATATACCTTCAAAAACGTGCACATTGAGATTCGGTCCAGTGAAACACAATTTTAATACATCGTGATACAAAACATAAATTAAGATAGCTTGCATCAGTTTCGAAGGAGCCCCTCTGCTACCATAACAGGGTAAAATTAAAAGAAAACATGTATTGACTCAACCATCATTCGAAAGACATTTTAAATTAAATTAAAGGTTATACAATTTCACATTCTAGCTGGCTCAACAGCAGCCTGGCACCCGGAGAGAATGGACTGAGAAGGTCAATGAGCAAAGCGCTCAGCAATAGAAATGGAGCTCACTATCTCGAGAATTTCTCATCACGGACAGTTCCCTTCTGATAAGCAGGGGGCTTCCACAAATACCTTCTCAGAATGAAAAACTTTATTATATACTGTGGCCAAGAATAGTATAGCCCTGTTTGAACAAAGCTTAATAGAAGCCCTAGAGTCACAGGCCCTGCCTGAGCCTAAATGACCCATATAGAGTTGGGTGGTTTTCCAGACTATATACTCTTTGAGTTCTTTTCAAACTGTCAGGTTTCCCAAGGGAAAAGAGCACCCATGCCTTGCCTGAGGGTCCCTGCTTCAGGACTGGAAGGATGGGTGCCCTTTAGTGAGAAAAGAAGAGAGGTCCTTTAGGGCTCCTAGTTCTGATGGTTTGAGAATGCCTACCAGCAGACTGTAAATGGCTTGTAAGCATTCCTCTGAAATCTCAGCTGGCTTAGAAGCCATCTCTACCTTCTTAGAAAAAACAAATCTCTATTCCCAAGCGCTTTAACATGTCCAGAAAATTATTTTGATTGTTTTAGTTTCAAGGTCAAGAGCTTTGGAATTACAAAAAACGTAACAGGAAGCCCGAAACCTGGGTTTGGTTTGGAGATGGAAGTTGACTAGCCGAGGAGCCACCTGCTGGTGGAGAGAAGAAACACACCAGACATTCCATGGCTGATGAGCCTGTCATAGCTGCAGAGGTGTAAGCTCTTTTTACTTCCTGCTTCCCCCTAGCCTTGCTCTGTTCTGTTCCTTGAAAGTGGAGATTGTATTCAAATGCATATTACCTCAAAGTATTCCATTCTGGGAGACTGAGGACAAGTCCAACTATAGGTAAGATATAAATTGGTATACAGTATCTTTGTGTGTTTGGGGCAGAGACTATCACATAAATGGCTTTCTTATATATCGTCCCTAACCTACCTATTCGAGGACATTGGTTTTGCATGTGTTCTTTAAAACCAGTGCTTGTACAGAAAGTCCTGAATTTTAGTTCAGTGGTGAGGCATAAAGGTGCTGAAGTTTCTACAAACTACTGAAGCGGTTTCTTTTCTCCAGGAAAGACATAAAGAAAATTTGTCACATTAACATGACATGCTTCTTCTCTTCACCATTGCCCTGCACTGGACTCTGCAGTCAAGCGGCTATGTCATCAAGACAAAAAGTCAACCCTCCCACTTTGTAGTCAGTATGGCCACTGTCTTCTCAATGTCTCCAGAAAGACTTCCTGCTTTTGTAGGTCTAAACTTTTTCACATTTCGACACACATCACAGGCACTCATGGTGTTTGATCAATCATAGAAACTCTAGTAAGGTGCCAACAAAAGTCATCTTACCTCTTGGTTCCCACTTTAGGATTCTGGGGTATGTCTATAGTGTTCATGATTGAATCGTGTTTCACAGCAAGGCCTAAGTCTGCTATGGCACAAGTGTCACACTTTTTCACTAAGATATTCTTTGACTTTATATCTCGGTGAGCAATAGCAGGCTTACCTACAAAGCATAAGAAAAGCGTATTTATTTATTTTTCCTCCTACTGAAGACTGGATTGTCCTGAAGCAAATAATTCCGAAGTCTTGGCTCAAAACGTGGCATCGTCTGACTACACCCCAAGTCCCAGCAGAGCTTTAGAAGGACATAGACTCTCCTGTTCAGACACCAAGGGAAGTGAGGACAGTCTCTTGCTTTATGCTCAAGTAGTCCCAATGTGCAGAGCACCAGGTGACAGTTATAGGCATCAATAATCATATTTTTCAATAAATGACTTAAAGTTACTTCTGTGTATGATTCACAATAGGATAAACGTTTTCTAATAGGTCTCAAAATATTACTTCATTAGACTAGCAATTTCCAAATGAGAACAGAAAACCCATGGGCTCCTTAAAGCTACTGTCTATCTACGTATCAGGCTCGTGCCAACATTCCTCCTCTTCAACCAAAACCATATATTGGGACAAATAGAATAAAGAGCATGAGTGAAATTTCAGACAATAAGCTAGATAGTAAAAGCATTTTCAGAAATGTGGGACAGAACAATTACTTTCACTATAGTTCATTTTTAAAAGTTATAAAACATTTGGAAGCTGCTATATTAATATTTGATAGGCTAATTACAGTTCCTTGAAGTAAACATTTTTAAAATTTCTCAATGTAAAGTTTTTTAATATGAAAGTTATTAATAAATATACTCTATATTTACCAAAACTTTTGGGTCTCTCAGTAATTTTTAAAAGTATAAGGGGTCATGAACCTAGTGGCCTGTTTGGACTAATGACTTTTGAGAGTCAGCTTCCTGTAGGCTGAGCAAACCTTGTAATCCAGCATGGCCTCAAACTCACAGGCGCTCCTTCTGCCTCAGCTTCCCACACCCAGCTTCCGATATTCTCTCATGGCCACATAATCTTTTTGCCGATTATGTTTAAATTACCAAAAGCCAGCATTTATATCATCTGCAGTATGTGAATGTGAATACAGAGCCTTTGACACCAACACAAGACATCCAGGTTCGAAGTCTAATAGGGAGGATGAAAGTTGCGCCATGGCAAGAACCTCACTCTTTTGAAGTCCCTCCACTGTCCCTCTGTGCAAAGAACTAAAACACGCTCAGACGAAGACCAGCGTTCTGAAAGGACAGACATACCCTGAGTACCAACGATCTCCATGTGTAGATGAGCCAGGCCACTGGCTATGGAAAGCGCCAGCTTGATCATCCCAGCCACGGTCACTACGTTTCTATTCAAGTAGTCATATAAGGAGCCCTGCTCATGATACTCCGACACAAGCCAAAGCTGAGTCCAAGTTCCATTATCTAAGGAGAAATCGGCATTGTTGTAAATGTTGAGAAGGCAAGCAAGCACATTTAACAAGGACAGTATTTTAAAGTTCGTCTGTGCCGTTCATGAAATGAAGGTGATTCTTGCAACTGGAAAGCTGAAGTTAGGGAAGTCTAAAATTCCCAGGGAGTTCTTGAAGATGGGGGGTGGTGGCAGAAGTGCCCATCAAAACAGGAAATGGTGAAAGGTGAGTCTAACACGTAAGCGATTCTTTCCCTGATGGCTCTCATCAACAGCTGCTGGTCACAGTTACTGCAGTGTCCGGGAGCCTTCTGAGAGGCACACTGAGAGAAAGTTCTGAGAGGCACATTTGGTCTCAGTACAGCTTTGTCCGTTACTCTTAAGCTTCTAAGAAAGATCAAAGCAACAAATACAATAAATTTATACCAACTACTATCCCTACCATAAGAGCACTGGCATTTGGACAATGCCCATGAGGTTTGCCTTTAAAATTAGGAAGTCATGTACTCCAAAGAGTTTTATAAAGAGCCAAGTACTATGACTGATGGCTAGGGGTTCTCAGATAACATGACCACTTCAACAAAAACCAACCCAACACTTTTAAAAAAGACTTTTTACCAGGCTAAAGATGTCTAATATTTTGAACATCAGCCTCACTCCGTCCTCATAACTCCACACCAATCATTTGCGGCTGCACTTCACTGCTTACTTGTGCGCATTTACATGTGGGAAGGACAGGAGAATTGTCTTAATAAAGAAGGTAGAATTTTATGTTTCCTTGAGACAGAGTGATGACGCCCACTGGCAAGCAATCTGACCTTGTTGTCTGCCGACCCTGGTGAGAGTGACCTCACCTTTGTTGTCAGCCGCGATGAAACCAAGGATGTTCTCATGTCGCAGCATCACCGTCTGATAAATTTCTGCCTCACGAAACCAAGATCTTTCATCTCTGGAGGAGAATATCTTCACAGCCACGTCTTCCCCACACCATCTTCCATGCCACACTTCCCCAAACCGACCTTTCCCTACAATTTCTTGAAGTACAATTGTCCTTGCAATTGTTCTTTGAACCAAAAGAGGCAGGCCTAGTCAAAGGAAGAGAAGACTGATCATTCAAACAGCAATCACAATGACAGACACTGTCACATGAAAGGCAAAGGCGTTAGCACTTATAGTAATTTTATTAGGTTTGAAGCGATAAGCATCATTACAACAAAGCGTAATGCCAAAACATGATCTGTAAGATGCCCTAAATTAGTAATTTCTCTTCTCTTATTCACAAAAAAAAAAAAACTTTTAAACACAACCCCCTGCTGCAGATATCTGATTTCTAAGAATTGTGGCAAATCCTTCTGAATTTCCAATAAAGCCAATCTGACTCAAAGGAAAACACGCATGGCCCCTGGTACTACCTCAGAAGGAAAAGAACTCTGAGATTTAAAAAAAAAAAAAAAAAAAACAAAGTTAAAATGTGTATATAAGAAATCAACTTCAGTGACTAAGATAAGGAAGCTACAGTAAGAATATATTATCTGAAAAATAAATAAATACAAGGAAAACATGCTCTGTGTGTGAATATATAAAACTCGTAATTTTTTGTTATTGTTCTTGTGGTTGTTTTGAGACAACCACATTTTACTCACTATGTACCCCTGGCTGGCCTGAAATTCACTATGTAGACCCAAGTGGCTTCAAACTCACAGAGACCTGCCTGACTCTGCTTCTCAAGTCCTGGGACTAAAGGTGTGTACAGCCATGCCCACCAAGACTAGTTATATACTTTTTAAACAATAACTCTACTTCTAAAATCCTACCTCATATAATTAATACAAAATGTAGAGAATCCATGTAAAAATATTAGATACATTGTTAACCTTTCAAGTTAAAAAGATAATTGTCAAATATCGTGCAAACACACACGCACAGGTAAGTAAAGACCTGGGTTCCAATTTCAGCTATGTCATGCAATCACCACAGGCATTTTATTTAACTCCTGCGAGCTTTCACACTGTTCTCTGGGAAATGGGACAATGGGGAGTGAATAAGGAGGTTAAGATCATGCATTATGTACCTGGCATAAAGCACAATCGATAATGGTTACCCTCTCAATGTTACAGCAACCTCAGAATGGACCATATAAGAACGACGCTGATGGTGCTGCTAAGAAAGGGCATCCCAATGACACTGGAAGCTCGTTTGCTACACTGTTAATTGAAAACAGCATGGTAAATTTTATCTATAGGAGTTCGTAGCTTTACAAACAGTGCATAGAAGAGACACCGAACCAAACGATGGAATCAGAGTGAGTTATATTATTCATTCTTCTCATTTGCTGTATTTTCAACATAAGGTCCAAGAGAAGGGTTTCTTAGTCCTATCATTGTATTGTTGGAAAACAAACAGTTACAGAGGCAAGAGGATGAGTGTATCCTAGATCATCAGCTCGGTTATTGTCACTGTCCCCAGGTGGCTGGAGAAAACAGCGCCCATGTGGTTCCTGCGGGCATTGTCCCCTGCTCCGAGAATGAGCCACTGTTTACATAGATGTTCTCATCTCCAGTAGAACCACCCACAATGGTAAATATGCACAGACTATAAATTCACTGGTATGAGCCTCAACAATTAGTCACCAAGCCCCACAGTCCAAAAGTTCTTGTCTTGAACCATCTGGTTCAGCCTCATCATCTATCGGCAAGAAAATTGGAGCCTGGCAGTAATCAGACTTGAAGAGAGTGTGCTGTTGCCAGAGGCTGGCTCAGAATGCTTTGTCCCCCATAGGAGGCCAGGCCTGTGTTCCTCTCTGTGGGAAGGAAGGCATCCCTCAACTAGCATCCGGGGCTATCTCTGTATTGACACCCACAATTACTAAATCAACTCTCAGTGTCTCCCTCCCCATATCATCACTGACCAGGAAAGAAAGGAGCCAGTAAGGCAGTGTGGACACACTGCAGCGGATGGACAAAGAACAACATGAAAGGGGACCAGTGGGGTGAGCAGGGTGAGACCGTGAAAATGAAGGCCGCTTCACTATCTTTCAAAGCAAGTTACAAAACGAATCTAAGTAGTTTTTGTGCTATACACCTTCAGGCTGCATTTGAACAGAAACGTTGCCTCTTGCTACAAGTTCGTTTTAATCTTTTCACCAGAGATCATAGAAGGCTGATGCCTGGCTTGTGTCACCATCTGTCAGAATGTTAGACAGTAAAACAAAGAAGCAGGCTTCCTACTTCCTTAAAAGCTGCCTGAGACAAAGCCCACTCTCAAGCAGAGTCCAATAAAACACCGTTTATTTTCACTTTGTAGGCTTTCTATCTCTTTGAAATTTGTCCCTGACCTGGTCATGGATAAGCTTCGTAATCAGGGCTTTTCAATATCTGACAAAGCTTCCTCGGATCTGAGGTCACCAACCAATTGAGAAAAGCAGAGAAGAAGCAGGCTGAGCCAGTCTCCTCCCCCATGGGCAAGCTATTGTGGCAGAAGTGCTGCCAGAGGTAAAGCTGCTCTCTGGTGATCAAAGGCATGTGCTTTTAGCTAGGGGTCACCACCAAACAAGCTGGCTACGTAGAGACAGACTGCCTAAAGCTTGCTCCAATCTGTCTCTAGGGAAATGAATCCATAAGCAGAGCATGGTGACACAGATCTGTATTCTAAGTGACTTGGGATGTTGAGGCAGGGCTAGCCAGAAAAAGTGAGCAATACCTTGTCATCACTCCCCTGCCACACACAACTCCCCCCCTCTACACACACACAAACACACTCATATACACAGCCTAGGGACGTGGCTCAGAAAAGTAAGACTTGCCCAGTGTGGAATGCGTAAGGCCCTATGTTCAATCTTCACTGCAAAAACAAAAAGAAATAATCTGGACTTGGGTATGTCTCCTTCCCTTCATAAAGTGTCTTATAATAATCACAAAGGGAAGGGTCCAGAAGCCAACAAATTCATATCCATGCTTGAAGGTACACTTTTAAAAATATTCAAAGGGTTAACATGAATTGAATTTTTCTTTAATTTTTATTGTTACATGTATGATACCTTTAAATACATAACTACAACCCAATGAGTCCATTTGCTGTTGGTCTAAACAATGGACCCCAAGAGATTTGGTGGCCCCATGAGATTTCTGCCTTCCATGTTATTATGTGTTATTGGTATTGTCCTATCCTGTCTTGTTCAGGCAGCCATATAGTTGAGGTATGGTAGGAGAAATTTTTCTTGCTTTTCTAGGAGGCAGAAGCTCAAAGACTTTCTGCTTCTCTGGCTCTTACAATCTTTCCACTCCGTCTCCTGCGATATTCCCTGAGCCTTGGCTGTAGGTGTTGTGTTGTTGGTGTACGCCTTGGGGTGGGGCATCTCAGATCAGTTGTTCTATGAAATTTGAAAAGCTGTGGTTCTCTGTAATGGCCTTCATCTGCTGGAGGGGGAAAAAAAAGCATCCCGCACTAATCTGGGTCAGTGCCACAAGTCAAAATTTTGTTTTTGTGTTTAGCTTATTATTAGTTATTATTATTATTATTATTATTATTATTATTATTATTATTATTATTATTGAGTTGCACTTATTTATTTGGATATGGGAGGAGGGCACTATATATAACCCATGAGGGTTTGCTCTCTCCTACAATGTGGCTCCTTGGAAATCAACTCAGGTCTTCAGGCTTGGTGGGAGGCACCTTTACCTAGTGAGCCGTCTTAAAAGCTCCTTCTTCCTTTCTTAAATTACTTATCTAGCCTTACACTTTTTAATTTGCACAACTTTACTTGGAGGAGAAATCCTTGGTCATTTCTACACTTAAAGAGTAGAAAAATAAACAAACACCATGACCAAAAGCAGCTTGAGGGGGAGAAGGGGTTTACTTGGCTTACAGTTCCAGGTCACAATCTATCATTGGAGGAAGTTGGGGCAGGAACCTGGAGGCAAAAACTATGGAGAACCATGGCTTGCTGGATGGCTCCCTGGCCTATTCTCATCTAGTTTTCTTGTACAACCCAAGACCATCCACCCAAGAACGGTACGACCTACATCGGGCTGTGCCTTCCTACATCAATAATCAGGACAGTTACCCCCAAAAATGCCCACAGGCCAAACTGAGCCAAGCAACTTTTCAACTGAAGCTTCTTTCAGATGACTCTAGTTGATAATAAAAATGTGACAAGCTGACGGTAAAAATGAACCAGGACACTCCCTAATATCATCAAGTGAAACTAGCGTGTTTTTGTGGGAATTAAATAAACTGTTGTTCAGTCCTTTGAACATTATAAAGAAATGTGCTTTCCAGATGATGGTGGCACGTATCCCAGCTCTTGGGAGGCAGAGGCAGGTAGATCACTGGTCTCCAGAGTGAGTTCCGGGACAGCCAGGACTTCACAGAGAAACCCTGTCTCCAAAAACCAAACAGAAAAGAAAAAAAAAAAAAAGAAAAGAAATGTGCTTCTAAAAATTAAGCATAAACCAGAGTCCTTTGAGCCTGGAATATGGCCATTACTCAAAAACTTGGGGTAGAGTAGCTCTCAACATGTAATATCCAAAGAAGCAGAGTTTGAATACTGCAGATTATTGCTTTTAAGATAAAAATGTAAGCCTGCTATACAATGACATAATTTGTATAACAGCTTTATAATGCTTTGTAATTGCAGGATTTTCTCTCTTGGTTTCTTCTGTAAAAAAAAAAAAAAAAAAAAATCACACTTGATGTTATAGTGATGGCCTGGACCATTAGACTCTTCTGGTCAGCAAAATTTTGTTCCTTTCTGAGGCATCCAGAGTGCTTCCTATTAAATATGGGTGCCCATAGGCCCTGCTTCTATTAACTGTGTCTGCCTGGCAGCTGCTCACACCCACCAGTGGGAGGGTTCCTCAAAGCTGTGTGTTTTGTTTTGTTTCCTTTCCTTTTCTTTCATGTTTTTCAAGGCAAGGTTTTGCTGTATAGCCAAAACTGGTCTCTAACTGGGGACATTAGAGATTACATAAACAGGTGCCAACCTCCTGGCTGGAGTAATGACACCAATAATCCTTCTAAAGCAAGGAGAGTTGTAAAAGCTTCTGACATGTGTACTCTTGGTCATATTTCTGCAGCCGAGAGCTCAAGATTTCTAGAGATTCAGATGGGAAGAGTCCATATAAATTCAGGGAAAGCCTGTTTCTCCCCTATTCCCCACACACTCCAGCATTTTGTGCTATGAATAAGTACTTTTATTCCAAGATGCAGTCTGAACCTTGGAATTTCTTCATCTGAATCCATTAAAGAAAAAAAAAACATAATGTTGTGATAACAGTGACTAGAGAACCTTAAGCCATAGAAGCCTGCCAGGAATGCTGTGAGATTCCTTCAGGCTCCCATTTCTGGGTTTCCAGACCATAATGTCAATTTAATTCCAGGGCAGAATCTTGTTAGCTTTGAGAGCACATCCTGTTGGATGCCTACAGATCCAGAAGGCCTTGGTGACCATAAACAAATATTTGCAAGAAATCTGCTTTGTTAACTAATTTCCCCATGTTTCATGGACTTAGACCCAACACCCTTAACTGTTCTGTTTCCATTAAACAGCCCAAGTGCATGGCAGCCATGGCTCTGACAATAATGGGAGGGGTGGAGGACAAAAGGAAAGCCAAAACCAATAATCAACACATGGTAGCATAGGCTCTCACTAGCATTGGCACACTAGTCTGCCTTTCTGGGTCCTAGCAACCTCTGACATCATCACCTGCTGCCTCTGCCAGGAGCGCCAGGTATGCCAGGTGTGTGCCTGAAAAAGGACCCTGCCAGCCTCCAACCCCTCCTCTCTCTCCCAGTCATGGGCACCTTCCCCTCTTTTCTCTCCTTCCCGACCATCTCTCTTTCTCCCTCGCCCTTTCCCACAATAAACATCCTTATATCTTGTATATTGCATGGTATAAGAATGATTATAATACAGAGAATCAAATCCTAAGATGTAAAAAAAAAAAAAGAAAAAAAAGAAAGAAAGAAAGGAAAGAAAGAAAGAAAGAAATTGGACCCATAGGAAGTGGACATTGAGAAATTGTGACAGTTTTCTTCCTCATCCAACCCCCTTTGTAAAGTAAGATTTTTAAATGTTTTTATACAATATATTTTGATCATATTTTCCTTTCCCCAACTCCTTGCCACTCAACTCCATGTCCTTTCCCCTTGTCTGTCTGTCTCTCTGTCTCTGTCTGTCTCTGTGTGAGTGAGTGTGTGTATGTTTATATATTTGTGTTGTATGTGTCCATCTCTCTCTCTATATATATATGTAAAGAGAAGAGGGAGAATGGAATGTAATATTATGAAGAGATAAAAGAGAAACTAAAATAAGATTAAGTGTGGGAAGGAACAGGGTAAAGAAGGGAATAGGTGAAGGGACAACTAATCCCAAATGCCTTTTAAACAACTCTATAGAAACCTACTACTGCAGACAATTTACACATAATCCTTGAAGAAAGTTCTGTTCATGACTTAATTCTGTACCTCACCAAGGACTCTAGTTGATGAGTTCACATTAGACACTTTTATCAAAAAAAAGACTGTTCATTTATTGTTAAACAGTAGTTTGCTTACTGAAAACACACACATACCAGAGCCTGAGCCTGAGGCCGTGGCATCGTAAATCAGATCTTTGAGAGTTTTCCCAGCATTCACCAGGCTGTACTCTGCCAGCGGTTCCTCCACGTTGTGTCTCTTGGTCTTTCTGGACGTGCACTGGCGGTCCTGACAGGCCCAGAGAGTCAGCATGGCCGCTATGGACAGGAGGCAGACAGGCACTGTGATAACCACTGTCAGCTCTGTGGGGCCAAGTCTGGGGGCATTGGGAGATGCTGCAGTTTGAAAAGAAAGAAGGAAAGAAACCGGCAGTTAACTCGTGTAAAATGGTTTTGATGTTTTCTTTTTTCAATTTATTTTTCTGTATGTATAGTGTTAGAATGTGTTTACAGTAGATGTTGGGGAGCTTTGTAGTAATTCTACAGCTAAATATTATTTTATTTTATTTTCGAGACAGGGTCTCAGGTAGCCCAGGTTAGCCTGAAACTACGTAGGCAAAGATGACCCTGAAGTCTTAATCCTCCTGCTTCCACCCAACAGGTATGGGGATTACAGGTATAAGCCACAAAGCATAATGATGTATCTATATCGAACTTTCACAATAAAATGCATTCATAATGTGTGTGAGCGGAAAAAAATAGTTTCAAGGTACTAACATTAAAAAGTTGGATTTTGGAAATCCAAGTAGAGTTACCAATATAATATCAGTGCCTACCCCGGGAGATGCAGCCACAAAAGTTCAGATCTAAGTCCACTGGCGAAGACCACAGTAAAAATGTCGGTAAGAAAAGAAAACATGAGAAGCGGCTGCAGCTCTGAAAATGGCAATGGGAGGCGCAGGTAGCATCATGGAAGCACTGGCTTGGAAGATTTGGAAAATCCTCCAAAATATTCAATACTTTTACTTTTTACTGTTTTCTCCTTGTTTCTCAGCAGTCCTGTCCTTACAGCAAATCCATCCATCCATCCATTCATTTATTTCACAAATCTTCGGGCTCTCAGGATGTGCTATTCCAGGCTCTGGAAATAAAGCAGTGAAGAGCCCAATCCTTACTCCCCGAGCACATGACAGCTAAGCAGAGGGCTACAGAACAGAAGAGTGGCTAAGTGCCGTGAGGGCGAATTGGCAGGAAGACCTTACTTTAGACTGAGTGGTCCTAGAAAGCACCTGTGAACAAGTGTCACGGAGACAATGAAACTAAGAAAGACTGAACGACAAGCAGAGATGCATGGTGCCAGCACCGGGAAAAGCCAGTACAAGGGACCCAGAAGTGGGCACCTATTTGGTCAGTTCAGAAACATGTCCTAGGGTGCATGAAGCAGGGAAAGAAAAAGAGAACAGGATCAAGGAATTGATGGGAAACTTTATGCAGTATGTTGCAGGTTGAGGGTAAGAATCTGAGTTTCATTTCACACGGAAGCTTTTGTGAGGTTTTTGAGATATGGATGAAGTTTTGTTCTGACTGGTCACGGTGTCAACAGACACTGGATTAAGAAGCATGATAAGCAGAGGCTGGCCAGAAGCCCAGGTCAACAAGCCTGGTGGAAGTGATGGTGTCAGCTAACAACCCTACCAAAAAGTGCTTTCATAAAAGCACAGAGCAACACAGCTCCAATACCAGAGACAGTAGGATTGAAAACTCAAGCTCTGCCTTGGCCACATGATTTTATCATCTCAATTAAAAAAAAAAAGAAATGAAAATAATGTTTTAAAGATGTTAAAAGAATTTCTTCTCAGTATCCACTCACTCCTTGGAACCTTGCTATGCTTCAATTCCTGGCTAATACCGTCACACGACAGTTACTTTCTCATTTACCTATTATCTGAAGTTTTCTGGGGACCCTGAGCTTTTTTGAAAGGAGGAAGCTGCTTGTAGTATTCCTAGCTGAATTCCCAGTGTTACCAACAGGGCCTGACTCACAGAAGGTCATCAGTAAGAAGTTCTTAACTGTCAGAACGCTGAAAAAATTAACTACTTTTTTCCCTGAGAAGTAAGAGATCTCTTCTTTGGAAATGTCAATGTGATCACTGAAACCAAATAACAGTAAGACAAAATTAGGGAAAGGGGAGATGGCTTAGTGCAGTGGTTCATGCTTGTGGGTTACAGCGCCCTTGGGGGTTGAACGACTCTTTCAAAGGGGTTGCCTAACACTTTCGGAAAACACAGATATTTACTTTATGATTCATAACTACCAAAATCATAGATATGAAATGACAATGAAAATAATTTTATGGCTGGGTGTCACCACAACATGAAAAACTCTATTAAAAGGTCAGCATTAGGAAGGTCAGCATTTAGAACCACTGGCTTAGTGGGTCAAGCATTCGCTGTACAAATACAAGGACCAGAGTCCAGACCGCCAGAGCTCAAGTAGAAGCCAAGAGGACACAGAGGCCTTCTTGTAATCCCTGCATCCAGAGGCAGAGACAGGATCCCCAGAACAGGCTGCCTAACTAGACTAGGCAAATAGCCAAGGTCTGAGTTTAGTGAGAGACCCTGCCTCAATACATAATGTGGAGACTGATCAAAGAACACACCTGAAACCAACCTCTGGCCTTCATAAACATGTACACACACACACACACACACTTCAACAGATATACATATACATTTAAACACCACACAGACATACAAATTAGGGGAAAAAAAGATATATTTGTAGCCAGCTTTAAAATGGAAAATTAATCTTGTACTTCAAAGTTTTCTTTTAGATTTACAAAAACAATGACATAAAAAGTTCATGATGATAGACACTGTCTGTCTTCAGTTAAGAGGTTAACTTGCAGCCTGGTGTGGTGATACACACCTGTAATCCCAGCACACAGGGAGGCATAAACACCTGGACCTCTATGAGTTCAAGGCCAGCCTGGTCTACAAAGTGAGTCCAAGACAGTCAAGGCTACACTTGAAAACAAAACAACAACAACAAAGTTAACTTGGTTCTTGAAGCAGGTATGTTATTTGCTTCCTTTTGGCTCACTGAAGACTGCTTCTGCAACAATTTAATGTTATAGTCATGTCTTATCTTCAGCAGTGTTGTTTTGTTTAAAACTTTTATTTATGTTTGTTTATATGCATGTGTTTTTGTCTCTGTTTTTATGTATGTGTACCATATTCAAGCAATTGACTATGGAGGCCAAGAAAGGGTGTGGGAACACCTGGAACTGGAGATACAGACAGTTTTGAACTGTGTGATGTTGGTGCTGGGATCTGAATCTAGGTCCTACGCAAAAGTATTGCATACTCTTAACCACTGACCCATCTCATCACCCCTGATTTTTGTCTTTAATAAGCCTTGGGATGTGTTTGACAAACTGTTGCATCAGAATTCAGGAGATTTGAGTTCTGAAAACATCTCAAACATTAAGGAGGTCATCCCAAACTCCTGCAGAAAGAAAAGTCCTACTCGGTTATGGATTGCCTCCCTCTCTGGTGCTGAACCTTGGCATGATGGCACCCTACACACACCAGGATTATTCTGTCCTGGCTAGGAAAGTTCAGCAACCATCCAGAGAGCACAAAACTTGTGCTTTAGAAGCCAAAGTGACTGACAACAGGCCCCTTGAGCTATGCTGTCCTCATATGTCTTTTGTTGTGTTGTCAAAACTGGACAACTTAGTACATCAATGATCCTTGCATATCACTCAGGGTATGGTAAAAAAAAATAATAATAATAATGTATGAGAAACCTTTGAAAATAATTGTGTTTGAAAGAAAGAAAAGATATCCAGTTCCTCTCCAGCATGTTCCCAACAGTGCCAGGCAGCTATCAGTGGGCAAAGGGGTCTGAAGCTCTGTCCAGATTTTTCTGCGTCAACAGTCCACTTTAACTGGCCACCGCATGCCTCATGTATTTCAGGACTCCTTTGGAATCATCAGCTGTTATGCAGGTAGATGGAGAGAGATTGGCCTGGAGTATTCTTCAATGAATGCTAAAAGTGTTCTCTGACAACTTGGCTTCAGACACCCTTAACCAAGTCCTTGTGACTTTTGAAGCTTGCTGTTATAAAAGAACAATCCGCCCTACAATGATTATTCTGTTTTTCTGTATCCTCATAGAAGTTCCTTGGTGTTCAAAAAGCTACTGAGTGTATTCATCTTCTGAATTAAGTCTTCTTCTTTTAATTCTTGTTCCTACATGTCACTATCTTCTAATGTCAGTTCCACCGTTGGAGGCATTCATAGAGCCACATTTAATTTTGATATCTACTATTAGAAGCCACCAACATGAACAGTAGCCATAAAAACTATTGATTGTCTTCATTTTGGTAAAGCTCTACTAAGCAGAGCTCAGCTCATCACTATAGCAACTAATAGAGACAAAAGGTCAGCAAACCTGAAATCAGAGTCACCTGCCATGGCACCAGCACCTGGTTTCAGGGATGTTTACTGTAGATGGCCAATGTTTCTCCCTATGTGAACAGATCGACTGATACAAGTTAGTAAGGGGGGGGGGAGATTACTCAGCTAGAAATGGGCTAACAACACTATCCAGAAAGGACTCCTTAAACACTGATCAACTCTAAAAGCAGACGTTTGTAAAGCCTTGCCTTTAAGCCAAATGCTTCCTGTAATCCTAATAGGAAATAAGAAAAAAAAGTGTACCTACAGCCAATGAATTGGGATAGAATACAACAATGGAAGATGGCTTTGATACAAATACTGTTTTTGGAGCAAATCTACATTCTTGATCACAGGAGAACTTATTGTTTGAGGATTTCTAATGAAGATGATTCTTTTGTGCCTGTGAGGGTGCACTGAACATGGAAAAACAGCTCCAAAAGGGCACTGTGACAGTCCAAAAGGGAGGTCTGGGGAGCAGCATCGCCAAATTCAAAGTATTTCCTTCTAAGCCAGTTAAATGTTAGAGAGTGGAAATGACAAAATACTAGCCCAGCTGTGAGAGAAACCAACTCACCAACATATCTACAGAGCTCTGGAGCCCATTGAACCGGGAAAATAAATACAAGTGCTTTTTGGTATTTATGGGGACTAATTTAAAATTCACACTCAAGTCCCTTACATAAAATGGAATAGGACTTTTACATAACCCACACACCACTCCTCCACACACCTTAATTTGTCTCTAGATTACTTCTAAAAACTAATACAATGTAAATGCTATGTCATGGTCACACTGTGTAAGGAATAAGGAAAAAGAAAAAAAAATCCTGTAGAGATGTATATAAAACACATTTTCCCCTAAATATCTTCAGTGTGCAGTTGACTGAATCTGCAGAGGCAGAACTTATAGATATAGAGAGCTAGATATA